AAAAAAAAAAAAAAATTCTTTTGAGATCAGGCTGGCCTCGAACTCACAGAGATCTTCCTGCTTCTGCCTCCTCTGCCTCCTGAGTGCTGGAATTAAAGGTGTGTGCCACCACATCCAGCCGAAGACCAATTCTTACTGACTTACATCTAGAGATACAATGCACTTCCTATCAAAATCTCAATAAGTTATTTTATAAATATCAAGAAACTAATTGCCAGGGCTGGAGAGAAGGCTCAGGTTAAGAGGCCATGCTGCTTTTGTGGAGGATCTCCACAGAGGACTTAAGTTCAGGTCCCAGCACCCACAGCAGATGGCTCACAACTGCAGATCCAGGGGACTGACACCCTCTTCTGGCCTCTGTGAGCGCTGCAGTCACAGGCACAGAAGTATACAAATACAATTTAAAATAAATCTTTTTTAAAACTGAAACAATTGCCCAGCTAGATGCAAAGATAGGAGACCAACAGCCAAAAGAACATTTTTTTTTTTTTTTTAGAAAAGTTAAAAGACAGACAGTATACAGCTGCAAGATTTCCTGTATGGTAATAGTAACTGAGAGAGTGTGGTATTGTTAAGCAGATAGAGAAATGAAATCAGAGTGGAGAAACAGAACTGTGTGGTTCAGTTACCTGAAGACAGACAAAGAGCCAAGGTGCTTAACAGACAAAGGGTCATCTCTCCAGTGGCCAGTGACGGGCAACTGGGCTTGTCTCTGTAGAAAGGAATCTAGATACAGACTTAACAACCCTCACAAAAATTAACTGACTGGATCATAGATCTAAAGAGGACACATAAGACAAGATTTGTAATAGATTGTGTGAGGCCTTGGGTTGATCCCCAGCACTAGAGAATATAAGTGTGTTTGCACATGTCTGTGTGTATACATGTCTGTGTACGTGCCTATCTATGTGCATGTGTGTGTATGCACCTGTATGAGCACAGGTCTGTGTGTGTACATTCATGTGTGTACATGTCTGTGTATGTGTCTGTGTGTGCACATGTACGAGCATATGCATGTGCACATATGTGCTCTTAGAAAGTAACAGAGCAGAAAATCTACCTATGTTTGGGATTGACCATAACATTTTAGATGTAAGAAATCAAAATCAGAATCCATGAAAAAAACCTATTCCTCAAAAGCACAATTCATGAAATATTGTTATGTTGTACTCCATAACAACTGAAAACTTTTACTCTAAAAATCTCATTAAGACAGTGAAAAGGTAAGTCTCAGACTAAGAGAAAATATATACAAAAGGTATATCTAATAAGATACTTGTCTCCAAAATACACTGTGTAGTCTTTAAACTCCATAGAGGGCTGGGAATGGACTACAGTGATGATAGAGCACTTGCCTAGCACATGTGAGGTCACAGATGCAGTTTTCAGATTCCCAGCAAACTCTATAGAAAACAAACCCATTCACCCCTCTCTCTCTCTCTCTCTCTCTCTCTCTCTCTCTCTCTCTCTCTCTCTCTCTCTCTCTCTCTCTAACTGGCCTGGAATTCACTAGGTAGACCAAGCTAGCATGGAACTCACTGAGATCCATTGGCCTCTGGCTCCTGAGTGCTGGGATTTAAACCGTGCAACCACATCTAGAAAAAACTCATTCTTTAGAATGTGCAGGGGAGCATAGTCAACACTTACCAAGAAGTTACACGGACTGCAAGCAAGCATCTGCTGAGAGTATGTGCAGCATCCTCGTCACTGAGGATTGTAACTTTAAACAGTGAGATTCGGCTAAAATTCAAAAGACTGAAAAGACCAAATGCTGGTGGGACAGGCATCATGTGTCCATTAAAGATGGAATGCCGCCAATTACTCCTTGATACTTACCTAAATGAGGTGGAAAGTTATATCCACATAACCGGATTATGAGTGTGTATAGGAACTTTTATGCATAAATTGGAAAGCAATCAAGGTGTCTTTCAATAAATGAATGAAAAAAGAAGTGATACATTCATGAACTAAAACTCAGTTGGCAAACTCATGTCTCTGCCTTTTCTTTCAGCTTGGTGTGGGTTTTGGTTTTTCCCTCATGATTTCTGCCTGCTGGTTTCTTGGTCGCATCTGCTCAGCTCATCAGGAAGGCCTTATACACAACTCGTTCCCAGATGCTGTTCCCACTGCTTCCATCACAGAAATCCATGGGGTCGGTCGGTTGGTTTGTTTGAGCCAGTCTTGTTATGTAGCCCTAGCTTGGGGGAGGGGGGGCGCTGATCTTGAACTTGCCGTTATCCCCCTGTCTCTCTGCCTGTCTCTCTGCCTCTGCCTCCTCACGTGGAGTCGGTGTGTTTACCTCCTGCAAGTTTATCTTTTGTACTAGAAAGTTGGCCCCAGGAGAAAAAAGGTACAGCTTATCTTATCTATTGCCACATTTCCACTGCTTAAAATAGCAGCCATGACATAAAAGATGCTAATCAACCTGTAAGCCAGGCTAGTTAGCTCTTGAAACTCTGCCAGCCCGATGCAAGGACAGCCTTCCCCAAGGATTGTATTGTCTGATCCCCTGTAGATTATACTGAGTGCTTTGGTGGCTAGCCCACTTACCTTTGGGCTGGTCTTAGTTCCAGTGTGTCAGTAAAACTGTGTAGCATCTTGTAAGACAGTTGTCAAAACATACATCACTTGGAAGCATCCATTTCACACTAGTTGCTTCCTGTGTGTAGCATGGCATAGGTCTCCCAGTTCTTGGAATCATCACCTCCTCATCTGTTCCTTGAAATCTCACTCATTCAATCTCACTTCAAGGACTGATGCTCCAGCAATGTCCGTCATGAGGCTTATTCTGGTTCTTCTGTGGCAAACTTATTTCTCCCTTTTATTTTCTTTCTCAATTGTTGCTGCTGCTGCTGCTGCTGCTGCTGCGGTCAGGGGCAAGCTCAGGTGCACCCTGGGCAAACACTTTATGAGTTACCTATAATCCTGGTGTCTTGCTTTGAATTGTTTTATTACATCACATTTATTTTGTGAGGGAAAAATTGCTCATAGCAGAGGACAATTTGTAGACGTCTGTCCTCTCCTTCTCCCGTGTGGATCCTAGGATTGGAACTCCATTCATAAAGACTTTTAGCAAGTACCTTTGCCTGCTGAACCATATTGCTGACCCCCATTTTTTGCCTTTACACATGTTAAAACATCTTTAAATACCTGCCTTGTGACGCCTACATTGTGCTGTTAAGTCATAACAATTGTACCACATATAAGAGATGAGAGAGAGTATTTATAGCTTGTTATATAATAAGCACTCTGTATGAGGGAAGGAATGGATGACCAAGTAAACCTAGAGGCTCCAGTGATAAATATTTTTATTATAATGGAGCCTGATTTCATTCCCATAGAAACAACATAAAGCATCTACTGAGGAAAATACTCTGTGAAATAAAATTATGCAGGCATGTCTAACAGCTGGATCATCTACTCAACTGAAAACATGTTTAATTGGTTATTACCCAGAGGATTCTGAATCAACATACCACAGAGGCACTCACATATCCGTGTTTATTGCTGAGCTAATCTCAATACTGAGAAGTGGAACCAGCCTAGATGGCCATCAAAAGACAAATAGAAGATCTTTGTGAGTTCAAGGAAGAGCCTGTCTCATAGTAAGTTCCAGGACAGCCAGAGCTACAAAGTGAGGTCCTGTCTCCAAATAAATAAATAAATAAATAGGGACAAAAAGACAAATGAGTGAAGAAAATATGGGGACATACACAACCCATTTTGCTTAGCTCTTATGAAAAATGAAATTGTAATATTTGAAGAAAAACATAGAACTGGAGATCATTGTGTTAAGCAAAATAAGCCAGAATGAGACATAGTCTGTGTTTTCTCGTGTGTGTGTGTGTGTGTGTGTGTGTGTGTGTGTGTGTGTGTGTGTAAACTGGAAGATCATAAGATGGAAAGAAGAGATAAGGGAAGGAGAAAGAGAGAGAGTAATTGGATTCCTATGGCATCAAAGCAAAAGAGCGGCTGAGGGAGAAAGGGGGCGGGGCAGAGGGGGCGGGGCAGAGGATACAGGCTGGGGAGTGGGGGAGGGGAACAAATTAAACACCACGAAATAACACATATGCATGAAGATTCTGGAATGATACCCATTTCTTTGTATGCTAACCCCCAAAATTTAATTTTAAGTGGGGGGAAAAAGCCAAAAAAATGCTTAAAATAAAAACTATTCCCATATGCCTCAGAGAACATGAAGGTTTGCCATTGTCACAAAACTGAGAACTCAGGAATTCAAAACATCTGCAACACCAAGCAATCCGTGAGAAGCAAAAACAAAAGAGAGGAAGAAGCCTTGGCTACACAGGCTGCACCTGCTCCGCTGAACAACATGAAGACTGCCTGAGGCATCCTGCTGCCTCTGTCTGCACACCCCACACTTGAGACAGCCCCTGTGAGGACCGCTGGCGTGCACAGTCCTACGTGCTAATACCGCTTCCCTGGAGGGCAGGCTGGGCCACGCAGGTCCCGTCTTGTCTCTCCCTCATATTCTCAGCATCGAGCATCAAAGGATAAATCTTCTCCTATCAGATTGCCCCCTGAGAACAGAGTCTACCGTTTTCCGCTCTCCCGTCCATGACCCTAAGCAGTGCCTGCATGTCCAAGTTATAATTGTGGATTGGCAGAACAAAGAGGAATAAACTGTCCCCCGATTACATCACATAAATCCGCAGGGGGCTCTGCGTGCTGAGATGTGCCTGCAACTCCAGCACTTGAGAAGTGGCAGCAGGAGGAAGCCTGACTCAAAAAACAAACAATAATAAATTAAATATATGGGGGCAAGCTTTTCTGGTTTTGTTTTCTAAGATTTATTCATTTTTAATTTCTATATATAAGCACTTTGCCCATCTGTATGTCTGTGCATTACGTGTGTGTCTGGTGTCAGGGAAGGTCAGAAGAGGGCATGGGATCCGGAACTGAAGTTACAGCAGGTTGTGAGCTGCAGAGAACAGGTCTCCTGCTGGAGCAGCCAGTGCTCTTACCTGGAGTCCTCTCCAGCTGAAGCTGTGACTCTGCACACGCTAGGACGGTGCTCAGCGAATGCTAGGATCGTGCTGCACTGCCTCGATCTCCTGATGGGACAATAGATATCTTTATACTTGGCTCACTATAGATAATACTTTAAATCAGGGGAAGGAGTGTGCATTATTCAAGAATAGTCATTTTTCAGATATTTCTAATATATTTCAAATAAAATTGTTTTTCAGAGAATTTAATAAATTTAGCTTAGCAGTCCTTACTGTTGTCATTTAAATGCCAGTGATAATCTAGTCATGGCGACACAGACCTGTAATCCCAGAACATGGGGGTCAGGAGTTTAAGACCATTCTCAGCAACATGGTGAGTTCAAGGCAGGCTTACGGGAGATCATATCTCAGAAAAAAAATTAAAAATTTAAAAACCAATTAACAAAAAATAGTGATTAAAAGTTCAAGTACAGATTAATTTTCATCTTAGTTTTATATACAACAGTAGCAAATATATCACTTAAAACTTAATGTGTCTCCATTCTTATGTCTACTTGGTTCTCCAAACGAGTGCTTGCACCATTTTGATATTTTGAAGAAAGGTTTCAGAGAAATTGTGTATGTATGTGCCTGCTCCCTAGGGTGAATGCCCTATGGCTGAGTGTCCACCACCATGCAAAGCCCATGGACAGGGCTGCTCTCTCAAGCCCCAGCCATTGCTCTGCTTTGTTCCAGAAGACCCCTGTGCTCGCTGAGAATCTTTGTCATTGTCCTGCTATGGAACTGAGTTTACTTCGTCTGTTCACCTCAGGAGCCTGGTCAGTAGTGCAGTGACAACAAGGTGGATTAAGATTTCAACGTCCAGACAACAATGGTGGTCTTCATTCAGGTGTGCTTGGTTGTTGTGTGGAAAGACACAGTTTAACATCAAAACGCATAAGCACACACACTCACACACACACACACACACACACACACACACACACACACGAGTCGAACACTTTCACACACACAGTCACACACTCTCACACAGTCACACATCTCACACACCAACACACACACACACACACACACACACACACACACACACACACGGTCAATGTGTCAAATCTTTAGAATAATAACTAGGCTAAACAACAACTTTGGGGTTGGTTTTTGTTAGGTTTTGGTCTGATTTTGGTTTTGTGATTTGTTGTCATTTAGAGACAACGTCTTGCTTATGTGGCCCTGGCTGGCCTGGTACTTGCAGGGTAGCCTGGACTGGCCTGAAATCCATACTCATCAGTCAGCCTTAGCCTTGAGTACCAGGATTACAGGCATGAGCCACCACGCCTGGCTCTCTCATCTGTTGGTTTTTAGACACAGTCTTATGGACATCTATGTTGGCGCTGTGTAGTGGGGAATTTCTGATCCTCCTGCCTCCACCTGCCAAGGACTGGAATTGCAGGAGTGAGCCACCACACATAGATTATGTGGTGCCTCAGGTTGAACCCAGGGTTTTGGTGGGCTAGAAAGGCAGCCTCCGACTGAGCCACATCCCCAGATCTCCAAGTGGGTTTTAAGAACTTACTGAGTTTTTGTCTTAAGTCAAGTGATCCATAGAGCTTGAATCAGCAATGTTGTGCTGTTACTACTATGTAGCGGGCAGTGGTAAAAGGCATTTTCATCCAGCCCAAGGGGACCATTGCAATGTCTGAATCTTCATTCAGGGAAGGGACTCAAAGGCTGGACCTGAGTTCCTGCCTTTCTCAGATGCTAGTGGGGTAAAGGCAACAGGTAGAAGGGTACAGACAATATCTAAGGCCTTGCTGTGGGATGTCTTTCTGTATTCTGTAAATATGTGTGGCTCCCATTGGATAATAAATAAAGCCGCATTGGCCAATGGCAAGAAAGCTTACAGCCGGGCAGGAAATCCAAGCAGAGATACAGAGAGAAGAAGGGTGGAGTTGAGAGAGACACCAACCCACCACCCAAGGAGCAACAAGATGCCAGCAGACCGGGTAAAGCCATGGCCATGTGGCAACATATGGATTAACAGGAATGGGTTAATAAAGAGCTAGCTAGCAAGAAGCTGAAGTCATAGACCATACAGTTTGCAATTAAGCCTCTGAGTGATTATTTTATAAGTGACTGCAGGACCATAGTTGGGAGAGTTTGTCTGGACCTCAGGGCGAGCAGACCGGAGAAACTTCCATCTATAGGGCCTGCTTTCTCTGGCCCTTTGTAATGGATTAAATGGCTCATGTTACTCTTCTTTCCTTCCCATTGTGCTTTCAAGCTACCAGTAACACGACCCAAAAGAGCACAATAGCAAAGGAGGAGGAGTGACCAGAAGCCTGGTAGCTTATCATGATACCTGCAATGTCACCCGAAACCAGAGTAGATGCAGGAGGGTCATTGTTTTTTTGTTTGGGAGGAGTCTACAGACACATGAAAGAAAACTCTGCAGATCATAAAGAGTTAAATGAGATCCTAGGGCTGCTGTTTTTAATTAAGATGAGCAGAGTGTAACCCTATTAATTGTAGACTCGCAAGACGAACTGTCACCATGTCTAGTTAACTACTACGTAGCAGACTGTCAAAGGCTCCGATAGGGCTGCTCATGAGCGCTTAGCACACAGCAAGACAAAGTGCCAGTGGCCGGACCTACTATGCTACTTAATTCACTCTTGTGCGGTGTCAGGCCATTAGCCACGGGGAAACACCGGATTCCATCTCTTTGGACTCCAGTGAGACACCATTCTTTCATTGCGCCTGTGCACTAACCCCACGTGGCTGGATAGCCGCTATTCCTAATTAGAAGACTGACTGCAGATCTCTTCCAAATATAACAGACCTCTGCTGATGACTCACATCAAGTGTCTTATTTAAGGACCAGCCTAGGGGATTTTTAACATATATGTAGCAAAGATGAATTATTCTAGAAAAAATCAGGAGTTTCTACCCATTCCTACCTCTCTGGGATAGTGCTCAGAGAGACTGTACATGTTCTTGACCCAAAACCATGTATATTGGAAACCAATACATAAAAGGTGGATGATGTTTAGATCTTCAGGTGGAAGAAATAAAGATTCAAGAGATAAGAAAACAATACAGAGGGACAGAAAAAGCCAAATAACAGAGCGTTCTAATGTACTGTCAAATGGTGAAAAAATAGGTGCTGCATGTGGAGAGGTACTTCTCAGAGCTGAACACAGTTGGTCAGGCTTGGTGACAGGCCCTTTATCTGTTGGCCATCTTGCCAGCTCTTCTTTGTTGTTTGTTTCCTTCAATCTACTAAGGGTTTGTCTTTTTGTGTCATTGATTTATTTTTAGAGTTTTCTTTTTTTTTTTTAAATTTTAGCGCACACAGTTTGTGTGTGTGAGTGTGTGAATGTGTGTGTGTGTGTGTGTGTGTGTGTGTGTGTGTGTGTGTGTGTGTGTAAGACATTTGTATGTGGGTATGGTTGCTTATATACCAGGACATGCTTGTATGGAAGTCAGAGGACAACTTTCAGGAGTTTATTCTCTGCTTCTGTTGTGGATTCCGGGGATCGAACTCCAGTCCTCAGGCTTGCAGAGCTCAGGCTTGTACCTGAGAAGCCACCTCCACGGCTGTTTTGTTTCTATTTTATTTATTTACTTTGCACATGAGTGTGTGTGTGTGTGTGTGTGTGTGTGTGTGTGTGTGTGTCTATGCGTGTGTGCGTGCTCACACATGAGTGAGAGAGAGACAGACGAGACAGACAGACAGATGTGTGGGTGCTAGAGGTGAGTTGTCAGATGTGGGTGCTGAGAACTGAACTCTGGTCCTCTGACAGAGCAGTGTGTGCTCTTCATCACCGAGCCATGCCTCCAGGCTCTGTTTCATTTGCAGCTGCTCCGACCATCGCTGCTGACTCCTTCACTCTGACTGTAGTCCGTTCTCTTTCTAGCTCCTTTCAGTGTAACGTTAGCTTGCTAATTCAACCCTCGGCGCTGACACACAAGTGTTTAGACATCTGAGATCGCTTCTCT